CTAGCTGCGGCCGGACTCGAGCGCGAAGTATCTATGTATCAGTATCAGCATCAGTAGATTGGAAACCATCCACATGGTGGTGTTTGCGGTTTCAGGTTACATGTCAAATGACATACAAGCGCCGTATAAAAGGGCACACACTAAAATTATACAATAAAGTGATACGAGCAATGGTCAAAGAGTTAAAACAGATCTATCTATGCACTATGGGGCAGATAAGATCAGTGGTCAGCAGTCAAAATCACATGACGTGTGGAGTCTTAAGCGCGATCAGTAATTGTGGCATCACAGGCGTAGGATAGAAGACGGCTCCAGGCAGCTACGGCTCGATACAAAAACGCCCTCTGTGTGGTAGTCAGTCGGTGTCTGCGCAGGTGCAGACTTCCTCTGTCCGAGGCGAGCATTTGACTGGTCGAACCAGCAGTGCGTGGGACAAAAAGCTCATAGACCCCGCGAGGCGCGCCTTCCTCCTTTAGCATCCCAAACATTTAGATCACGTCGCGGCTGGACCACCATGGCCTCGGTCCTCGCCATCCAAAGGAATTTATAACCGGAGTTATATAATGATCTCTTGGAGCCGGCAATTACTCTTGAGCAGAGGGTAATTGTTTTTATTCGTTATTTTGTGTGGTTGACTCCTGGCCGCTCCAAGCCCCACGCACAGCCAGTACCTGATATGAGGGAGCACGTACGCCTGGATCTTGATTTGACATCTGATTTTGAGATCTGAAGTGAAATGATGACGGTTTCACGACGCCCGAGGCATGCGCACCCAATGACAGACCAGTCGACTATGGCGTTGGTAATTTTGATACTAATTGAGATACGCACAGTCCAACCACTTACGTCAAAATGGGAAGTCAGCTGACTTTTTACATTTTTTTTTTACCTACAGAGCGTAAAGGTAATTTTCGTTTCGTTTTTTTGGGGGGGAGATATGCTACTGAACCAGCACTGAAGCTCACGCATGGTAAGTTCCAGTCAGGTTTTCAGGTCGGCGAGGCCTGGCCCGTCAGCGGGCATTCGATAACGCTGCTGTAGGGCTGTCAGCTGCCAGACATAACCCACGTATCAAGCTAGAGAATGCATTTTATTCGGCCGACCACCGACGGCGTCTCACTCAATGCTGGCGTGGCGGCCGCATCGGTGATTGCAGAGTTAATGAGCTAATGCAAAAGTTAATGCTATAATAATGTTGGTAATGCGCGGCGGGTGGGCCACGCTAGTGCGATGTCGTTGTCGGAGAACTTTCGGCCGGAAATGCAGATAGATCATCGGCCAACAACTTTTTTTGCTTACATCACCCGTAGCGGCGCGTGGCTAATTGCGGCTGGCATTCCCGCGGCGTGATAGGCAGAGGACGGCGGCCGGAGAAAAAATGTAATATAATATAACATATAAAGAATATAATGGAAAGTAGAGAAAGGAGTGCGCGCTCAAAGAGCGCGACCGTGTGCATTCGATAGTGCTGCCATAAGGCTGTCGACAGTGAGTGCAACACACTTGGCTTATTACGGCATCCGTTTTATTCGGTCCACATCCCGACAGTTTCTCACTCAAACCTGGTAGGACCGCTGTCGCTACGATTTGCAGGGTTGCGAGACACACAACTTCACACAACGCAACTTCCAGCAGTCGTTGAACGGGCTGAACGTTAGCGTGTTCTAGGTTGCAAGAACTCTAGATATTGCATGAACATATGTGTAGACGGAAGTCGGGAATCGTGCCCGTAGACAAACACCCAGAGAATGTCCATTACCTTCATCTTTCAAGGCTCTAGAAGCGGGCTGAAGAGGCGAGCTGCAGCAGAATGCAAACAACGGTCGTTTTTAATGTTCCCATAAAATCGCTTTTAAGACTGCAGTTCTGAATTACTGGTATATACGCATGCACTGCGCTTTGTTTGCAATTCATGGACGCAGTCTGAATTTTCTTGAAGGGAGTGGTCCACATTTCCATGACCTTTTGACTGAGATAGTCATCTTGTACACCATTTTCTACAGTTTACAGTATTTTCCTTTTGATACTTGTCTGGTTTTTGAACGTCACCCCGCGAACTTGTGGCAGGCTATCTTAAGGCCACCCAGGCATTCACGATGTCATAGAAACGCCACGCAAATACCGCCGTCACATTGGTCATGTGGTGCTGGAGGTCAAGAAAAACGTGACCATCGAGTTGTTTGTGTGCTGCCTGTACGTCAGCACCTATTTCCGACATCACCTGACTTCAACTGACCTTCAACCAATGCAGTGGGTCCAGTGCGAGTTTCGAACACAAATCACGTTTTGTGCCACGTAATGAAGGAATTTTGGTACTGGTGCGAGTTATGGCGGAGACAGGGCTGAAAATTGAATGGCTTAACGGGAGTGTCCCACCATTGAGGCACATTTCAAAATACGCTCTGGTGAAACTGCAGGACCTTTACGCGCAGTAATTAAACTGGGTAGAGTCACTGCAGCAACATCGATATATCATAACCGATAAATTTGCAACCTTTTAGAGTCCAAACTACTGTACACTGTCCACACTACCATACTGTTAACGCTTCGGAACTGTACTAAATTTTTTCGTTTCTTGGCATGCCCAGAGTGTATTCTGAGCCTGCGACAACTGTAGTTGTCGCGTCCGCCATCGTCATGACAACGGTATAATCTGCTCAGGGCTGTTTGCAGATCTTACGGGCTGGAGGTACCACTTTCGAGCCGCTTTAAACCCGCACATTGTGAGCCTGTCGGCTTTAAAGCGACATCCCATGCTAGTAAGGAATAACATCACTACAAATGCACGTTTGTGATTGACTCAGCGGGCGGCAGGGGCCATTTTGAGAAATGCATCGGTTAAAGTTTTAAACGATTGCGTCACTGAAGGACCACGTGATACCCTGCTTCCCAAAGCCAAAGTGGGCTTCGAAAAAAAAACTGTGCTACACGCCAGAGTGAGAAATCAACACCATAACCTAACGTTCGTTATATTCGCGGGAGAGTGGCTTCATGTTTCGCACACATTGTTTTACATGAAAAAAAATGTTTCCAGCCTTCGTAGCGCATATTACACAAGCATTTGACAAATTAGCTTGTTGCAATATCATAGAACACACACGTTGGAAAAGGCAGGGCAAATGTCATGAACTACCGTTGTAGTGGTGAGTAGGGAATCCGGTGAGATTTTTCGCACGAGCGTCTATTTCAAATCGAAATTGTAACCCTTTCGAAAATATTTCGAGACATCTGGTATTGCCGATCAAATGGGACCGTTTGATCTAACGATAACAGAAAAGTACAAAAATATAGGCATACTCCCTTAAGAATGGCGCCATATCCAAAATGTGTGAATGCAAGTAAAGCCCGTTCGCTACAGTGTCAGTCCTGGCACTGCCAGTCTGGCAATGACTCTGGCTTCGCGAGGGGCGTTCTATGACGTCACAAAGCATTGACGTGTTGGGCAAAATATTTCCTTGGTAGTAAATTTTGTTGTTTAGAGCAGTCCTTACAGTTCAAACAAGTCGACAGTTAGAAGTGAGGCTATCTCATTACGCCTGATGTTTGCCTTAATATCTTAAAATGCAAAAACAATCTCTACAAAGATGATGACCCAGAGTTCTGTGAGTATGCATCACGCAAGGGAGCCATCTATCGTGAAAACAAAAAAATAAGATCCGAGTCCCTGATCCAAAAATCCTGGCGTGTTGCTGCACCCCTGTTTTGGTTAGTTGACTGGGCAATTCGTCTGGTTTTACTCATTTGTGTTTGGAAAACGGTGCCGTTCTGTTTGGCACACGTAAAAGCAGCCAAACAACTTTCCGTGGAAAACAGCAAAATTTCAATACTTCACCGTTGAAGACGCATATTCCTGCATATTTGCCACGTGAGCACTTCTCAGCATTCTCACCATATGATCGGGCGCCTGAACGAACAGGAGACGTGTGAATGTGTGCCACAAAATATGTTGAATCACATATCCGATTACGTGTGTAGCAGTACCCTATCCTGTCCAAACTGTCCGAGGAATGGGTATCGGAGGGTTTCGAGACGTTTCGATTATGTTGCATGGGTAACACCAGCGTACCACTTTTACCAGCCTGCCATTATCACAAAACTATCTGGGATGTCCTATCCCCCAAAAAAGGAGGAAAGGAGAGAAAGAGAAGAGAGAGAGAGAGAGAGAGAGAGAGAGGAAATAAAGAAAAGAAAGAAAAGAGAGAGAGAGAGACGGACAGATAGATATAGGTTACATGAAGTATACTTTGATGTATGTACATTTATTTAGTAGCGTTTAGTATATATTTGGTGTATGTATATTATGGCATATTCGTCTGCAGCTTCTATCTACTCATGCGTGCATACACATAACAGAGCAGCGTTAGATATATACACCGGCGGATCAAGAACGCCGCCCTAGAGGCAAACCCCGGCTTGGGGGCAAATCCAAAAACGTGTCCTGATTTTCGACACCCCATCGGATTTCGCTGCCTTTGACCTCAGGAAATTTTTGGAAACAACTTTGTTCTCGTCAAAGCTGCCCACCTTTTCTTTAAATATCAAACACGTCTTGCTTTGGCCAGCTTGAGCCATCTTAAGGATGGCCCGGTTGACTACTTACTGGATCCGTCTTTGGTTTTGGTGCAAAAATGCATTAACTACTTACTGTTTGCTGTCACTGTGTGATACAGGTTGGTATAATTTCAAACAGGCAATATGACAGCGAATTTCATACCGAGAAGCCAAGCGTGTTGTTCGTGTATCGGTATCGGCCAGCCGTGGAACTAAGCAAAGTCATCTTCTATCAGTGAAACGGGCCATATTCCTTCAATGCCCGTGGCATCACTAGCTGTCGCCACCTAACTGCCTCTAAAACCACAACAGCATTCGGAGCATAGCATAGCTCTATCACCAGCCCACAATTGTAGAGCTTGGTCAATCCACCATCCTTCGACCTCCCAACGCCTGGCGTTCCATGGTGCCCCGCCCCCCCCCCCCCCCCCCGCTCTTCCCGTCGACCGTGCGCGCCTAGGCAGCTGCCTCGGAGACGGCGCCCTCCTGTGTGCTGGGTGTCTCTTGCTTCTCGCGCACGCCCAGGCACGGCCACCTCTTCTCCAGCTCCTGCCGGTACGCCGGATGACTGATGGCGTAGGCGAACGGGTCGAGGCAGGCGGCCGTCTTGCACGTGCAGGCCGGTATCATGGACATGAGCGGTGTCAGGCGCGCCTTGGCGCCGAACGCGCCCATGAAGGCGACGACGGCGTACGGCGTCCAGGCGAAGAGGTAGAGAGAGGTAAGCATGACGCCCCACCTTGGCCACGCGCAGCTCCTGCCGCACGCTGTTGTCGCCGGCGCGTAGGTTCTTCACGTTCATCTTGGCCGCTTGCGCCTTCATGTTTTGCTCGTGCTCGGCCACGTGCGCGAAGATGCGGTAATAGAAGATGATGATGGACAACACCGGCACCGCGTACACGGTGGTGAAGATGCCGATGACGTACGCCTTGGTGGTCCACGATTCAGTGAGGTAGTCGCCGCCGCAAGTCGTGAGAAAGCCTTCAGGCTGGTAGCGACCGAGCATTTCCAGCAGTGGCAGCAGGAACCAGGGTGTGATGTAGATCCACATGCCCAGGATTAGGAGCGACGCCTTGCCCGCTGTCATCTTGAAGTGGGAGCCCATCGGATCAGAGATCTTCTTGTAGCGGTCGAAGGCGATGAGGGCGTTGGCGCACGACGAACCGGCACCCGAGATGGAGCCGACGGTGGCAAACACCGCGCAGCCCACCCAACCGAGCGCCGGCCCCTGCTGGAAGCTGTTGTAAATCATGATGGGCGCCTTCAGCATCATGAAAAAGTCCATGAAAGCCAGGTTGACAATGAACATGTTGGAGGGCGTTCGCAGAGTCTTTGTCGTAAGGAAGATCCACAGGACGCTGCCATTGCCGAGGACGGAGACGATGTGGAAGATGATGTAGACCACGCCCAGGATGTAGTGCGCCATGGGGTCCGGTGCCGGGAATGTCAGCCAGTGGGGATCCACGTAGGCCAGGTACTCTTCGGGGGTGTTCCAGCCCATCATCTTCTGGTTGGACCTGCGGGGAAACGACATATTTAAGGACTTGGGGCCACTACGCAAGCTGTCCTGTCCTGTTTTCTGGTTAGTGGGAACATTATACGAGTGCAGTTTCTATAAGCAGTTTTTCGGCAACAACAAATATCGAACATCCAAAATGTTGGCATTTTTGTGCTCTGTTCCACCCTGTAACACTATGGGCTGAAACGTTGTCATAATGGGAATACCGCTTGGTGGTAGTCATCCCCCATTGGGACCGCGTTGGGGTAAAGGCTGTGTCAAGTGTCATAGCGCTAATGGAAAAACTTCTGGCAAAAAAGATGTTCCTGTGAGCAGACTCGTTCTCGAACCCAGGTGCTGTCGCAATCTAGTTTGGAACAACCCAATGATCTGTTGAGTAACAGTGGTAATCGATTCTCTTGAACTTTTGTTCTGCATTTGAGTAGGAATGTTGTCGAGGAAACCGTTGGTGAATGGACTTAGGCATAAATGTGAGTGACAGAATATACTCATAGCTCGCAGGCTTATCTTTGCACCAAGTGGATCATAGTCATGCATGGAGCCGTCCCTTTTAAATTAACGTTCTATCTCGGCTATTACGACAACCAAAATAATTATTTATGAAGGTTTGAGTGTTGGCGACTCTAACCAGCTACCCAGAATGTCACCAAGTATCGATTGCGCGATTTGGACAGCATCTTGTTGAGCCGGAAACAGAATGTTCAAAGTTTATATAGTGACTCTCAAAGTTGTATAGTGTTATGTATCTCAAAGTTAGATAGTGACGACGGGATGCAGAGTCGGAATCTACCACAGGGGTTGCGAAGTCGCGAACGAAATCGCTTGCACTGTCCGAAAAAGCTAAAAGTCTGTAAATGAATCAGAGCGGCGTATCGCAACCTCACGCACGTTTAACTCTAAAATTTTTGGTAGGTTGTAGGTCGTAGCGTTCGGTCAGAGACCACCGTTACGCTTAAAGAGATTCTTTACGTCAATGTAACCTTCTTTTGTATTCTAAGCACCGACTTCCAATAAACATTAAACATTCCTAGGCGTGCTGATTTCGCATGTAACTTATTGCTGTCGAGATTGCAAATGTTGCGCAGAAGTCTCCAAGTACTCTTCTTTAAGCATTCTGTTTGCACGACAGGTATATACCTTCCACGAGCTTCAACAACGATTTCCCTAATCATTGAAGGCTTCTTAACTAGGCTGCTTAGTCTTATATATACGCGCAAACGATGTTTGCAGCCACTCTGATGAGTATTTTCTGTTGGCGAAATGTTCTTGTCGGCTCAATGCCACTAAGGTGCCTATTTAAATAACGTGTCTACGTATACTTGACTAGTGTGGATCTAGGACTGGTAGAGACCAGAATTGTGCTTGGCTCGAACCGAATCGTGAATTGACTCAAGAGCTCTCGTTTTGGGGTGGGCGCAAGCTGAGGCGGCTCGTCAGGGAAAATGTCACTTTTAGTGATAAGCTGAACTACGATTTTGAAATTTTCATGGTATGAGTCGTTACCTGATTGTTTCGACCAATCTGGTGTCAGTCACTCACAGGCTTAAACTGAAATGGTTACATGAGGAAACATAGCGCGTCCAGGCATATTATCAGAGCAGTGAATGAGTGTTGTAATGAGTGTTTCAGGGTGTTGAAATGAGCAGCATGCAGTATTGGGCGCGAAACTCTTTTTAAAAATCAGCACAAAGTTTGCTGTTGCAATTTCTAAGCAACAAGCACAACATGCTTTATGCTGATCTAAAGTTTGCCAAATCTCACCCTAGTAACCAGAGGCTATCGCATGATGGCTATCGACATCTTATATCCCCATATCTTATGTTAGAATCAGCGAAATATTATTTGCTACCTATAACTCGATGGGCTGGTCAAATCTGTCAATGTCTGTTGCCAAAACAATGAGCTAATCCATACCAGACCGCTCATTCACTACTTAAACTGCGGTAAGCGTGCCATTGCTGGACTATATGAAATAAACAAGCCTACATTGCATGCTATAAAACCCGATGGGTTTGGGTCGTAGGTGCCAGGCAAATTGTGCTAGCCCAGAAGCCTAGAGCTGAGACTTGACAGAGCTGGTTGGTAGCGGATTACAGGAAATGCATTGTTTGCTGCACTGCAGTTGCTAGGTTCAAGCTACAAACTTGGTACTAGGCTATCTGAGCCTATTTTCCGTGCTATGATTTACACATATACACACACCAATGGGATATATATATATATATATATATATATATATATATGTGTGTGTGTGTGTGTATGTATATATGCATGTGCATACACACACACACATAACCCATATGAGCCATATGGGTTATGAGAAATTAGGCAGCGATCCAGAAATGCATCGGATCTTTTGATTTTACTACCCGCGTGAGTCAAATGATTTTAGCCAAATGATTCAATGTAAGCAATGAGTCTGAACTAAACTGATTAAAAAAAAAACTAGAGCGGCTAAGTCAGTCATGAGCGGCCGGTCCTGAGCCGACTAAAAAGATATGAGTCAAACGCAATGCAAGATATGCGAATATACAACACAAGGTATACAAATATAGAGCAAATCGGTGAGCCCCTGTAATGATTAGTTTGAATGTGGCGCTGCACGGACTGTGATTGTTCCAATATCAAGTTTACAATTTTGCTTAAAACTCCCGGGCATCTCATTGACCTGGACAGTCAAAAGTTGGTTTAAACCGCAAACTTGGATGCTGTTGGCTTTCTTTCGTGAAGAAGCACTTACCGTGTTTAGCTCAATTAATGGGCAAACACCAGGGACGGGGGCAATCATCTCTGATTTGCTCTGCTTAGTTGATCTTATATTAGTTGATCTTGATCTTAGTTGATCTTAGTTGATCCCGGACCTCTTGTAACTTGTGCGTCACGATAGGTTGCATTATCATTGCAGTTATCACTTACAGGAGCTCAGAAAATAAGATCGGTCCATTCGACCACCGCGTTGAATTTTCTGCGGTTTTGAAGACGATCTGCCCCAATGTGCGCCAATGCAGCTCGTCCAGGATGTCTTCTTGTTCACCACAGAACCCAACGCGGGGGCCCAACCATCTTCCCCTCGAGGTCTTTGATAGCTTCGTCTCGATCCCTCACTACTCTTTAAACTCGTGGATTCTTGTCGCCACCGTCGTCAATTGGTTGGTCTCATTTTCCGAAAGCAGCTTGAAATCGTTCCATATTTTTCTATATAGTTTCCCCTTGTTCTTTGGGTGAAGAGTCTGTCTCAGCTTGTGGTTCTCAGGGGATACAATCTCTTGAATTTCTTTCACGAGACCTGTATTCGACAGGCCTTGGCTCCCAGAATTACTCACTTTGTTCCCTACCATATTTCTCTTTTTATTTTTCGCTTTCATTTTTTTTTTACAACGCCTTTGAACATGACCGAAACTTTGGTCTTACCTCCAGGGGTGAATATTGCTTCCAGGGAAATTCCGCGTCGTCCGCGGTGGTACACCCGACCTCCCCCCCCCCCCCTCTCCCCACCCTTCCTCAGTTAAAGCTGTGTAGTTTCCGTCATTTCTTCTCGCTACCCGCACTATCCACGGCACCGGCCACGCACCGGCCGCGTTCGCGTCCGCCGGCCGGAAAAGCCGCCGCTGGTTCCGACGGCCAGCGGACCGAAACACGTTTGACCCCGCCAAGCTTTGGGCAGGGACTGGTTCCAAGCTTCAATATGTTTGAATATGATTATCAAACCTGCAGGCTTGTAAAATTCCTTGGACCCGGCAGAGCAGGCTTGATATTAGACGATAGGTCGAACATGCACAGGTAGGATGAATACGCGCGCGATGACCGTTCAAAAAGCGCCTCATGAAAGGAGATCAGCGAAGAGAGTGGCCGAAATTCAGCTGCACTCATTGGCATCGGAACGTTTTTTTTTTTTGGACATGTCATGATGATTGGAATCTTACCTCTTTATAAACATGGAATTTGATGATAAACAAAAAGAGGTATCAAGGAGAGGACCACACACCAACTTCATTGCATTGTCCGTTGGGGAGATGCATTGAGCTATTTCGAAATGCGTCCGGCACTTAAACATCGCTACGCCAAATCTGCGTATCTCTTTTAATTTTCACATGACCTTGCTCCGCAACTTTGCCCTCGCATTTGCAAGCGGCCTCGGTCAAAATCTCAACATAACGGCTAGACATGTGATATTATACTGAAGCAACCTTAACTCAACTTAGTTATATGATCACGTTCATGCAACTTTCTCAGTCTAAGACATTGGTGTATCTAATGAGGGATGTCATGTTTAAGTTTTAACAACAGCTTGACGCTACTGTAACAATGGTTGGTCTCTAGCTCCCCGCTAAACGTCAAATGAGTTGACGAAATGCAACTATTGGTTCTACCGGCCCGTCATCTGAGGATCGCCGCCATCTTAACTCAGTCAGTTAAATGTGTGTTTGATTCCGATTCAGTGGAGCTGATTCCGACTCGGACGGCTCACACAGCACTGGGCTCATTTCGGTTTTGACCTCAAACAGTAGGACTCAAAGTGCACTGTACTCCGGTTCCGACTCAAGGAGATGGGAATCGATTCAGATGAAATCTAGTCCGCTGCCCCGCTTGAGGATATACGTTGTTCTATAGGCTTGCAAAGCCAAGGCTTGTTATTTTTTTTATATAACACAGCAAAACATGCATTGTTCCATTTGCTGCGCATATAGCTGCTAAGGTCAGAGTAACAGGCTCGTCATTTAATTTGGCCACGAGACAACGGAAGGACGGGCATCCCCCGGCAGGCTTATGGTGACTCCAGCTGATGCTGTTCGACGCAAACTGTTTTTTTTCTTCTATCATCTCAGCGTTATTGCGGAGTGTTGTGCCAAGTCGCAGATTTCAGACCATCGTATTTGTTCGCGCTCAACGAAGGGCTTCAAGGCATCTGGAAATACAAACACGACCAGCACACCTTCTTACCTGGCCGACTGCACCAGCGGCAACCTCGTCAAGTTATGCCAAGCCTCCATGTCGGGGTCGGAGCTTCCGATGGTGGTGCGGAGATCCCACTGCTCCGCGGGCGGGCGCGCTTGTTCCGGGCTGCCCCCGGACGGAGGCCTCTTATAGCGGGCATTACACGCAAGGCGGCGGCCTCCGCCACTTGTCCGACTTCGCCGGCCCTTGCGCCACAGCCAGCCGCCGACAGGAGCAATCCCATTGCCCGGGATTGTCTGTTGAAGTGTAGGGGGTGAGCTGACGCCGACGGCTTACCATAGTTGTCAAACGCGAGGAAACCGTTTTGGTGCTGTAGGTGGTAGGACAAACGTGATCCTGTGCAACCGGTCCGCAGCGAAGGCGAGGGGGCGTCCGACGGGAGTGCTACATTAGTTTTAATGGCAATACCTGAACGCGACGGTACTACTGCATGGCAAAACGAAAGCTTAAAAATTCATACCCGTTATTTCTTTCACTGCAAAAAGTTTGACAGTATGTACTTATACGTGCAATTACCTTTACAGCAAGGACTTTGACGCAACACAGAGTGCTACATGACAAAATGTTTGCGTCAAAAAGCGTATGTCGTCATTCCATATACGACAAAAGCGCTTACAAAACATGCAGTATTCACTTATGGGCAATATATCTTCTATTTCTTTTACATCTGCGTCATACTCATGATACAAAAAACCCAAACTTTGCACGTTGGACTCCTCATTACTTCTACAGTAAAAACTATGTAGTCTTAACGTACGCGACACTTCGCGCACGTACGTGACGCGACATTGTTCCTTAACCGAGTGCTTAAACGAGACGTTACTATTACACGGTAAAGGCATGCTTTAAAGACATATGGTCACAAAAGTCGATCCTACGAACGTCCAGCTGACAGATTTTTGCAGGCACTCAACGCCGTCTTTCGCATTGTCGTAGAATGCTTGGTTTTTGATATAACATAACGTGTCTGTTAAGTGCTAAGTTTACCCCTACATCTGATTTGACCTGTCCAAAAGGTAAATGTTACTACTGTTCATCCTACATCGGTCTAATATAGTTTGATAAGAGCTTTCCAGTGCTGTTTTCCTCGAAGTTCTCAAGTGTTTAGTTTGCTTAATTAAGGTCCAAGAGATGTTGCCTTCTTGAGACAACGCGCTTACCATAGCGTAGAAAGGGGGAAATAACACAAAATAAAAACTCGTACATCATACCGTTTTGATACTAATGGATCGTCATTGCTACTGGTAAGCAGCAAAGTGCCTAGAAATGAGAATGAATTTTTTGATGTTTTGGAAACATTGTTAATAGTCTGAACGCTTACGATCGTGCAATTGGTGAGGAGAGAAAATCTTATAGAAAAATGGAACTATGTTGAAAGTTTTGTGAATGCTGTTTTTAATAAAAAGTTGCACGGTTTTCGATGAACATTTCGTTCTTTCATCTACCGAGTATATATATGTATATATATATATATATATATATATATATATATATATATATATGCATATATAGACGCTGAAAGCTGCCCCGATGAGTGTGTCTGAGCTAGTGAAATATAGTTGTAGGATTTGTTATGTTGGATGTTGTAAGCCTCAGCGTGTCTTGTAAATGATGACTTCTTTATGGCTGTAGCAATATATGCTTGCGCCAGAATATGACGGTAGTGAGTTATTTAATGAGAAGGATATTGTTGTTCGCATAGTAGTGTTTATGCCATGATTTCAAGTCTATCAATCACCGACATGAACCAAAAAAGCTATGTATTGATACTTCGAATGGATAACAAGGCATCCGAAACGTTAAAGAACGAAGAATACATATGAAGGCAAAACGTGCCTCTTGACAAATTGTTTTTAAACCTAACTGATGGAAAGCGTAACGTACGAGGGATCGAAAACTTAAGTCCCGGCCCAGGGCCCTATGTCAGAAGATTGGCCGTGAAAAACTCACGGTCATGATTCTCACCGATGAGAAGAACTTTGCACGTGAGGTACCGCTGAAGACTGAACGCTGAGAACATCCGCGGCTCCGGAAACGGCGAGGAGAGCATAGGTTCAAAGAGCAGACTAGATCCCGAAAATCCAGATTGTCGAAAATATTCATCATTACTGCTGAAGTCTTCTGGAATGAAAGGCTGAAATCTTAGTTATAGACATGGAAAATGTGAGTCTATTCAGCTGTCTATATTCAACTCCTGGAGGGGGGGGGGGGGGGCAACTGTCGACCTGCGAGTAGTTCCAACCAGCCGGTTCCTCTTTCCAGCAGGACGGCGCCCACTCACACGCAAGCGGGACCACTTCAGGAGAAACTCCTGAGAAAGTTGCTCTCGCTGGACGCAGACACCTCATCAAAAAGGACGAGTGGCCACCAAAACCCCCTGACCCGAGCACTCTGTCCTCACTGTCTTCCTGCGCTCACTTTCTTTAGAGTTCTGCGTCTGGAATGCGCTGTCACAGAAAGAATACCGGCTTCACCACCAGAAGTTCTCCGGTCTGGATGAGCTGAAGGAGGCAGTTATGACCGCACGGGGGGAGGAGTCACCGGACAGCACAGGGGTAGCCTCCGACAGTGAAAGCAGAGGCTGACTGCGGTGGATCAGGCAGAAGACGGCTCCATCACTTAGTGTGCCAACAAAAGAATGTCACCACACATATTTTTACGCGTCTTTGTCTCTTTGCTGGTAACGAAATGACCAATCGTCTGATTACGCTGAAATTTGGGACGCACGTTCTCTGATGCATTTTTCTTCGACATGAAAATATCACCACTATATCTTAAAATGTTTTTTTTTTTAAAAATAGGTGACAAAACTGTGAACGTTTCTTTCGGGTGGTAGGGCACCCGACGATATGTGCGACGTTATGTTAGCCTCATAACATCTCATAACAAGTACCTACCCCCTGATGTACTGAAGGTCGGTTAAGTAAACATGTACTTCTCCTGGTGCACTGAAGGTCGGTTATTTTAAACCTAAGAACTCGCGATTAATTCCATTGCAATGCAATGAGCGGTTCGATACATGGCTTTGCTGTCGACACCAAATAGGGCAGCTTCCTGTGGTCCCCTTTCGCGAGGAAAAGTGAAGGCGGATTGAATCGGCATCTGAAAGTGGACCCCGTCAAACCATGATAAGTAAGGCAGTAGTTTTATGAGTTACGTCGTGGAGGTGGGGCGGTGAAAAGGCGAGGGAACACTCCAGCTGTATGGGCTCTACAATGCCTTCCGTAACTAAAGCTGAAATAGAAATCAACAGTTGAGCGGAAAACGCGACGGTGCTGTTTTTGCTTCCATTCGTCATATAAACTGCCAGTCGAGTTCTACTGTTCTGATGTACACTGATGGGATAGTTGTGCGCTGTTACACAATAGCCATGAATGCACGAACAAGCATGCCGCACTTGTTTATCTATGTTTTAGCGATATCTAAGTGTGCTTTGGCTCAAGCTCAGAGCACATTCTATGCGTGTGGGGGGAAGGGGGGGGGGGCTGTGAACGCGCAACTGGTCAAGATCACCGGTAACAGTCGACTGTAAGGCGTAAGTATTTCCCTACGCAAAAGTAGGATCTGACCAGGCTGCTATTACGACGCAAGTCGATTCTGGCAAAGTTCAGATGTATTTACAAGTTCTGCCTGCAGCTGTAAAACAGATGTTCATCGTCATGTGCACACAAAAGATCATAAATGTGATCATAAATGCGATTGAGCAACACTGCAATGTTACTAAGAATGAAGTAGCTGCTGTATCATCAGCATGCATAAAATTCAATTATGCACAATTTCGGTGCTTGGTGTTTTTTTTCCACAGCACAGCGTGGCACTAACACGTCATCATTTTAATTGTTTTTGATGATGATGAACAGCACCACATTATATCAGCAATACACAGGTATGACTTCATTTTGGAAACAGCTTGTACAGTTAATGCGATTTTCAAAGTAAAAACAGAATTGTGACAAGACAGTTAACGCACGGGAAACCATTGTGAGAGCAGTCCTGACATGCGTGTGGAAGGCCATGGTATGATGCTCCATGTATAAAATCCGTGGTGGGGGCGGGGGGGGGGGGCGAGGTTCGAGGCTAAGGCATCCCCGCAACACATGTCAAGTTGGCGGCAAATCATGCCACTCACCTGCTATGTCGCCTGCGTCTGTCAGGGACACAATGTACCTGCATGCAATCACTTAAGTCACTTTTCTCATAGGCCACAGTGCGGAAAACATGCAAACTCGCCAAACCCGACACAAGTCTTGTGTCAGACAATACACATCCTATTCTTGTGTATCACCTTGGACACAGCTTGCGATTTTGAACAGCCCCACAGGCCAGTTTGGAATCCGGCCGTTGGCATGCCACAAATACTGGCATGATAAACGCAAATACAAATACAAACATTCATGTTTGTATGACAAACATTGGACAAACACACATATCGACATCATTCATGTTTGTGTGACAAACATTGGACAAACACAAATACTGGCCGAATCTAACCCGGCGCGGTGCGTTGGTGCCTTCGGCCTCCACGTCGGGAAAGGGGGGGGGGGGGGTCGACCCTGGTTGCGCCATGGTCCCCGAGCGCTAATATGGCCTCTGCAGTCGCGAGCGCTCCACAGAGAGTGCGTGACGACGTTCGTCGCAGTGCCTTCAAGACGAAAACTTCATCTCGTTTTCTAGCAGTCGACTTTCGCAGACAAAACTGATTAGTATGTCTCGCTTCAGCGGAAGGGTCGGGGATGGAAGCCGTAAAAAACGGGCGTTACATAAGTCAATCCATATCATAGGCGAGAAAGAAAAAAGAAGCGCATGGCTTCCCTACATGCGAACGGGGGATTACGACTCGACAACGACGGGTGAATTGCTGCAATGGCGCTAGGTGTTCGCCATGTGAATAATTTCATTACACATGCGATTGGTACAACCATGATGACCATGACAGGCCGCGGCCCGCGAGCATCAGTGTACTTGAAGGGTGGGGTTCATTTGCAATGGTTCAACTCCTTACAAAATCTGAGGTGAAGGCCACGAGAAATAGCCCGCATTAATTCACCTTGACAAGTCTGGTTACTCCGAGACGGCCAAGGG